ACCCAGGTTTTTGGCCTTGGTGAAGGTTAATCAGCTAATGGATTCTTTGGCTTGGGGACTTGACATTTATGTAGTTTAGGAACTGAAATGTTGCTTCTCGTGATTGTCGAAAGCTCGTGCCAAGCTTTTTCCATGGCTTTAGATCCGTTGTTCATTTTGTGAACTTGTATTGATACCCAGGTCCAGATCCCTCCTGATTCTCTGCCAGTTCGTGTGAAGGCTTGTCAATTGAGAGGCATGGAATTTTAATCTGTTGCAGCTCTAAGAATTTCAAGTTTATGGTACAAAATTTGCTATCATATTTTATAAACCGGAGGGAATTAAGAAAGCGAAAACATACTGAGGTAAAAGGTACAGCGAGTATTCTTTTTCCGCCTTCTTGGCGCGGTCTTCTAGTTTCTTGGCTGTTGGATTGAACATCTTTTAGACGCATGTGGGGCTCAACCATGCGATTTTTCCCAACGGCTCTTTTAATTGTCATATTGCTGTCTAATCCATCAGTGCTGATTTAATTTTAATGCTCAACGATTTCTTTTTTTTTTTTACCAATTTATTACACCATTCCTATTTCCTGCATACTATCCCATTAAGAAATCATTGTTTGGAGCCTGTAAAGGGATATCTAGCATGCATGTATGAATTCCTCGGAGCAAAACTATAATCATAAGGAGTTGCCAAGAAATTTTCAGATTGGCCAGAGTTGGCAGCTCAACTAGCTGTTTCTGAAACATTTTAACTTTTTTCTCCCTTGAATGAATCAAAGGAATACACAGGAAATTTTTGGCATTTTGCTGTCGAATCACGTTGTCTAGTGGGCGGGCCAAGGGAGGTTGATGGGGGCATGAAGCCTTCCAAGAATTCAGCAACAAGCGTTGAGACAACTATCATGCCATTTGCTGTAGCACATGTGCAATTGCTACAACAAATAGCAGTATGACAAGAGCAACACTGCTCATCTTTCTTGCCTCCACTTTTATGTTAGGTCTATTTGACGTGCCTCTATTGGTTACTCGTTCAGACGTATTTTAGGTGTTAAATTTTTCGAAAGGCAAGATTAATTAGAAAAATATTTAAATATAAGAGAAGATAATAATTGTTAATACGTGTATATACATAATGGATTACACAAAATTAACGTGTGTTAACGGGTGCTTGCCTAATGGGCACTCGTTACAAAAACCCTTTATTTGGATAGCAAATTATCCCAAATAATATTTCGCTTGCATTATAAACAAAATTTTCAACCCGTCTTTTTTATATTATCAACTATCTTTTTATCTCACATACATTACATCACAAAAAATATTACAGTAATTATTCTAAATAATATTTCAAATAATACTCTATTCAAACAAACCAGTTACTAACTTTCTTTGTAATGTGCACACTCTATGACAGTTGACAAGAAAACCACACCTTTCTCAAGTAGACACAATCATGGACGACAATTCCTGTTTCAAGAATTTGGAAAGTCTTAAATGGTAGCTTTCATTAAACATTAAATGCTTCGAGAATTCAGAATGCAGGTTTCAGTAGCTTTCAATGACCATATTATATACACTACATGTTCCATATTGAATGCCACTGAAGCCAAATTTGGGAACTCTTGAAACGGAAACTGTTGGACTTTGATTGCACCTGCTTTCTCCAGAAGAATGTACTACACATTTTGTTATATTATCTAATGCTGTTTGGATCTGTTCAAAGGTTATTTGCTTGGTTTTACTACCTTTCTAAGGACCACAGTTAAATTCTCTAAGGCCTGCATTGTGGGAAGATGCAGGATTAAATAATTAAGCTCGAGACATAGGAACATGCATTGGATATCTACCATGGCCCAGACGTTGTTTCTTTTTCTTAATCTTAAACAACTATAGCCTAATTCTGAATTGATCTTATGTCCATCTATTAGCATTTGATTGAGGATGAAGAAGTGTAAGATTACCAAGCATGTTTCTTGGATTTTTTAAAAATTAAAAAAAAGGTTTCTTTTTGAAATTACGACAACCCCCTTGAACTATTTGAAAATTGAGTAATTTATGCTTGTGACAACTTCAATGGCAGGAAGCAGAGCAAAGGGATCTGGAACCGGATTAGGGGTAAATTATTCAGGCAGTGTATTGTGGTGGTCTCCTAATTTATTGTGATGGTACATGGCTGCCATCCAAATGGTAGAATTCCATAGGAACACGAAGCTTTTTTCTTTCGTCTATGGAACATAGTACACATAAATGGTAGTACAAAATTTTCTTAAAGTTTCGATGGATATTGGTTGTACACATATTTATTTGTCAATGTGTAGATGGAAAAATTTTAACTTTTTCCGTGAACTTAATTTTTATTTATCTCACATACATCATCAAATTTTTACGATACATTTTTTTATAAAAAATTTTAAAAAATAGTAATCCAAACTGAAAACACATTTTTCACAAAAACTGATACTTAAACTAGTATCCGCTACACATCTGTCATGCAAATTCAAACACTACTTCAAGTTTGTTTCAGTTTATCAAGAAAGAAGAAATTGAGTCATGATGATATAATTGCACCCAACATTTATAACCTGATAGAAGAAAAGATTGTAACAGCCCAGCTGGAATGTGAAAAGTTGCCATGAGACCTGTGACTCTTCAAGTCCCTTATTTTACTCCTCAATTAGAGAAAGCACAAATCTTTTTGGAGGGAAATCTTAAAAGACAAGGACCCCATTTGCGGCCAACTCATCTACTACTAATAGTATGGGATGCCTCAAAAGAAAAATGAAAATCCATTACACCACCTGCTTTGCTGTACTGAACTAGACTAGACATATGGTGATAATCTCAATGCATCCAAGAAACCCAAAAAACAAAAGGACAAATAAAAGAAGAATCTTTTTACAATTTTGGTATTTTATTTTTTGATCCAAGCACATATCAAAAAGACGAAGCTAAATAACAAAAGACACTACTGTAGTGTAGTCAATGTCTGGAACTGAGAAGTCCGAGATTTATAGTAGAGCCTTTACTAGAAGCCCCCTGCCCCTTTCTTCCCAGGTCCTTTTAGCTTCTCGCTAACGTACTTAAGCTACATTTTCATATTTTAGTACTATACTTGTATTTATTTTAATATTATAGGTGTACGTGGGCTAAAATTGTACTAGAATTAGTATACTAATTTTGGTTGGTGGGGCCATGTTTTGGACAATAATAATTATGACATAAATTGAAGGTTTATTTGGGGAGTGTAGTAAATAGTTTCCAGTTTATGCAAGTTTGAACTCTGAAGTGGCTCTTGCGGTGCTCTCTAGGATTTTGTCTTTTGGTTCTGTTTTGTGGGTTGTCAGTTTTTTCTTTGAAAAGTTTGGTAGTGGTTTCACATTACGTTGTGACTTTCTATAGGGCTTTGCTGAGGTTTTCTTGATTCTTTGTGAAAGCAGATTTCTTGGGTGCTGCAATTAAGTTGAAGATAAAAGGTACTTTTTCATTTTCTGCCTCTATTCTCTAAAAATTGGTTCTTGATTTTCTGCTTCTGGGTTTTTGCTAAATATTGTGCTTTCAAGGGGTTTTTTGAGTGTGGGTTTTCTTAGTGGAGCTAAAATTGTAGTGGGTTCACTTTTTATTCTCTTCTGGGTTTCGTTTGTTGATTTTTAAATTCTTGGAACATAGTGTATGATAAAGCTAGTTTCTTTCGGCATTAGTGCTCTTCTGATTGTCTGAAACAAATTTTGTTTTTTAAAATCTAGTTGGTGCTCACAACTTTTGTTCTGGTTTTCTGTTCTCGCAAGGATGATGTTTTTGCTTGCTGAATCTTTGCATTTTTTTGGTGCTCCTTTATGTTCTGTTAATGGCTTATGTGGATTTGCTTTCTTATTGTTGCTAATGAAACTGATGGTGATTTTTATAAAGTTGCTAGCTTTTTCACTTTCTTACTTCTCTGTCTCTGTTGAACAATCTGTTCCAAACTTTCTTCAAGCTGTAAGGTATAGAGTGTTTTAAGACTCAAACAGCTATTTGCTGTTTCTACATTTTACTTGTTTGTCAATAGACACACGAGCTATTTCATTTGCTACTTTGTTTATTATGAGACTTGTTGAATCTTTTAAAAAATTTGGCCGTTACAGTACATTAGTTTCTTTCTTAATCAGTTTATCCGTTTTTCATGAACTTGTACTTCTACTACACGACATTCTGGTGTTCTTAGCATTATTACATTCTGGTTGCTTGTGTATGAAACATTTCTTTCTGCATTAAGTCTAAAAATTGATACTTTGTTTAAATGATATTACTCTTAAAAACTATGACATACTTTCTTTGCTTTTCAGTCATAAAAGTTGATTGTAATGCTCTTGTCTAATGGTGGGATTTTCACTTAAAAGAACTTTAGTGGTAGCAGTAAGACCAGCTCTCTAATAAGGGAACATCATCTTTTGCGACTGGAAAGCAGCATGTAATGGAAATTAATTTTGATGAAAATGAGAAGTACATGGATGAACTCTGATAAAGGTAAAGCAAGAAAGGATAATCTAAGAGATGATTATACAAATGAAACGGTACACATGGATTGTTGGAAAATAACAAAACAGTGGCAGTGGCAGTGGCAGTGGCAGAATTACCTTAGGGAAGACAATATCGCATAGATGGAGTTGTTCATTTTACACCAACAGGAGGTAGTAATCTTTTAAACATATTGCGGTAAAATGTGGCTTGACAGTGAACATAAACCTAGATGGAATAGCATGCAGAAGTACATTTGGTACTGATTTATGGTAACATGGGATAAAGGTTTTCTGGATTATGGAAATTTGACAGCATATTAAGTGCAATACTTTCCTTAATCTGCTTTTTAACTTTTCCTTGTGCGGTCTTCATCTTGCTGTCATATACTTGACTTGTTGTAGTATGTGTATGTCAAGTGGATATCTTGTATAGTTCTTTAAACATGTTAATGTTCACATGCACAACTCTTGTGGAAAAATAGATTTTTATTTTTTTCTGCTTCTAATATTTCTTTGACCATAAGTTATTCTTTGACCACAAACCTTTTAAAGTTGGTAGGCAACAGAGACACTGCTGTCCTCCTATCATTAGAAACCATCCAGTCTCAGACCATGTTATCATTCTAGCTTAAAACCATTCTGCTACCGGCTTTCATCCTGACATAGAGAACATTTTAGTGCTTCTTATACGGAAAAAGCAGCCACCAGATGTGGTTCAGCTATGTTGTATTATCTTCTGGTCGAATTTTTAATTAGAGGAGTTGTTTAATGTTAGTCTAGGTTTGCATAGTTTGGCCGTGTGCTCTGCATGGTGCATTGCTGCAGTTTCAATGATCATTCTAAGAATCATTAGAGTCAGCGACTATAGATGTACTACCTGCTTGATCTGTCTTTCTGAATTGCCGCTGTTTCTTTGAGATGAATTCCAGTTAGCCTGTCTATGAGAACTTAAACAGAATGAGCTTCTTTTGAACCTTGATCATCTTTCAAGGTTTGAGGCTACACTTACATGATACAAGGTCATTAGTTCTTCAGTTAATTGTCATGCTTTACCTATAACATAGATCCATGTAATAGACAATGTACCGTGTGTAACCACGATTTATCTGCATCTTTAGCAGTCTTGCTAAAAGAAAGAAGACAGATCTGCAGTGAGTCAAAATTGTACTTTATGGTGGACCCAAGGATGCTCAAACTGTGGCTTGGTATAATTATATTGTTCATCACCTGTCCCTCCATTGCAGCAGGTAATTTGATTCACTTGTACTTTTTGAGTTTTTCTTTTCTTCAAAAATGGATTTAGCTTCTTTATCTTGGCAAGTCATGTGTGCACCCTTTTTATATAAGACTGCATTTCTGAAAACTGTGGTGCCAAAAGGCCACTTGTGTCTTTAGCTTGCCTTTGCATCATCTTTTATTGTCCCTTTTTCTTTTGTCGGAGGTGTGATAATGGCTTTGTTATTGGACTACATATAACTGCATAGAGTAAATAAAACATGGTAAACATGGCAATCATGTTTTATGTTTCCCTTGTATGGAAAAAATGGACACTGTATTCAACTTATCATGTAAATGATGTAATAAATCAAACAAATTGTCAGTAAAGGTTTGTGAATTTTATCTACCTGATGCCTCTATATGTGTTTTTAATCAAATTGCACCTTCTATAATTTATGTTACTGCTATTAGTATGGCAGTCTTCTCAGTTGTGCAAGAGTTAATTTTTGGTTCTTATGGGTTTATTACTTACTAATTTTTTGTTCATCTTCCCATAATAATTTGTTAAGATGATAGAGGTTAATATATTTTGGCTGCATTTCTGTATGTCAAAATATTAGTCAAATGCGTCAAGAATTGGAGAATTGTTTTGTATTTGGTTTGAGATTCATGCGTATGTTGTTAATTTGGAAAACCTTAGTCCTTATTGACCAGTCACTGTATTTTCTTACAATTGCAGTTTTAAATCATCTTTAAATTTATTTTTAATTCTTTTGGATATATGCTTGAGGGAATGGAAAACCTGTCCTCTAAAATTCTTGAAAGAACCGTCAATCCAGTGCAACCCAAAGCAAATTTTCCAAACAGTTGCACTTGTCTGATACTGGAGGTATTTATAGGTAGTATGCCTTGTTACCTATTTTTGTAGATGAGGTTTTTAATTTAACACATTAAGTCTATAGTTGCTACCTAAAAAAGGCTTGCAATAATTCTCTTAATGGTCCAATATTTTGAGTTTGTTAGATCTGCAGATGACCATTAAGGTGATTTTATTGTTGCCAAACTGAGGATGTTGAAATGGATAAGATTATAAAGCTATGAATATAACTTGGATTTAAAACAAATGTTCAAATATATTTTGATTTATGAAGAAAACAAACCTGCGAGTGAGGATTCATATGGCCAATCTCATGTTCTGTTGGCTAGAAATTTGCGATGTTATCAGCCACTATTATATGCATTCCTGCAAGAGCATGAATTTCTGTTGATATATGACCAGAAGCTATAGAAGTTTCTCCATATTTATGCTCGGATTTTGTAAAATGGTGCCTTCTTATTGGCTAGCTGGTTAAATGGCATTTTATGTAGCCTCTTCTGAAACCTGCTTGGTCAGTGTTTATACGTTGTTTTTGTTCCTTATTAAGGATGCTAGAATTTTCAACTTATACTTCTCTTATCAAGAAAGTATCCAAATTTGCTTTGTTTTGACTAGTGCATTAACTTGGCTTTATGGCTGCCATATATACCGGAATACTTATTTAAGCTGTTGAGAATACAATGGATTGCAGTACTAACAGACACCTTGGCATCTGTTAGGGACAAAGATTTATTAGTCTAGCATTTAGTCCAAGACTTGTTATGCTTTCTTCTTACTGAACATTTATCAAACTCTTGAGCTTGTAGGAGCATTTGTTGGTTTTAACATTGGCACCGACCTTTCAAACCTACCATCAGCAACTAATGTGGTTGCCATCTTAAAAGCCCATCAAATAACTCATGTCCGCTTGTTTGATGCTGATGCTCACATGTTGACTGCTCTCGCGGATACTGGTATTGAGGTCATGGTTAGCGTCACAAACGAGGAGATTCTGGGGATTGGTCAATCTCCATCTGTGGCAGCAGCCTGGGTGAATAAGAATGTTGCTGCTTTCGTTCCCTCAACCAATATTACAGCTATTGCTGTGGGCAGTGAGGTTCTAACTACCATTCCTAATGCTGCCCGTATTTTAGTTCCTTCCATGAATTATCTTCAGAAAGCTTTGGTTGCTTCTAACTTAAATGATCAGATTAAAGTTTCAACCCCACAATCAATGGATGTAATCCCTAGGCCCTTTCCTCCATCAACTGCAGCATTCAATTCCACATGGAACTCCACAATTTTTCAGATGCTTCAGTTTTTGAAAAATACTAATTCCTATTACATGTTGAATGCCTATCCTTATTATGGATATGTTAATAGCAACGGCATCTTTCCAATTGATTATGCTCTTTTCCGACCACTTTCCTCAGTTAAAGAAATTGTTGATCCAAATACCCTTTTGCATTACGACAGCATGTTTGATGCTATGGTGGATGCTACCTATAACTCCATTGCAGCATTCAATATCTCAGGCATCCCAGTTGTTGTGACAGAAACTGGCTGGCCATGGCTTGGTGGTGCCAACGAACAAGATGCCACGGTAGGAAACGCTGAAACTTTTAATAATAACTTAATCCGGCGTGTATCAAATGATTCTGGTCCTCCTAGTCAGCCAGACATTCCCATAAACACTTACATCTATGAATTGTTCAATGAGGACAAAAGGCCAGGGCCTATTTCAGAGAGGAACTGGGGAATCTTTTTTCCCAATGGAAGCACGGTATATCCAATTAGTTTAAGTAGTTCAGTTAATGTCAGTACAAATTCTTCAGGTGTATTTTGCATAGCTAAACAAGATGCTGATTCCAAGAAGCTGCAAAATGGACTTAATTATGCTTGTGGACAAGGCCAGGCTAACTGCTCAGCCCTTCAGACAGGGCAGCCTTGTTATTTCCCTGATACTTTGCAAAGTCATGCTTCTTATGCCTATAATGATTATTATCAGAAAATGCACACCTTTGGTGGAACCTGTGACTTTGATGGTACAGCAACAACTACAAGTCAAGATCCAAGTAAGCTTCTCTATCCTTCTATCGCCATCATGCCTGAATAAGTCGTCTTTGCCTTGTCTACATCTCATGCATGCACTTATTCATTTACATGGATTTGTAGATGAAGGTAGTGTAGATGAAGGCAAATGTATCTTGTTTTCTGTTTCTTTAATTTGTGTTTTGATTTTAAAAATAAGGAATTGGTGATACAACATACTTGGAGGAACTGCAAAAGTAGGTTGCACTGAATTTTGAAAATAGGACCTCTGCTTTGAGTTGGCTGTGAAACCTTTTCATTTGGAAGTCAAGAAGTTCTGTACTTGTGATTGCCTATTAAGGACTGACGTGTAAGACAATTTGGCTTTGATAATACGTTAGAGCATATTAGAGTAATAGGGAAAACAAGCACTATCTGTGGAGCAAATTTTGTAGTGAAATTTGGGGCATGTGAATTTGGTTTGTACTGAAATTTGGGGCATGTGAATTTGGTTTGTAGTGAAAATTGGGGCATTTGAATTTGGTTTGGACGGTAATCAGCAAATCATGATTCTGAAGCATTATTTCTGTGGTGAATATCAGTGTAGAGAATTGTTGTGTTGCCAAATATCACAATGGCAAAATGCAAATGTTACCCTCGGCATTTTGAATAAAGACGGTAGAAGTTGATTATCGTCCTCTCGCTGCCCCCTTCTTCCTCTCTCCTGTCATCTTCTTAGCAAATTTTGATTTCTTTTAAAGCATCTTTCCATCACATGAATAATTCCAAGTTTGTGCAAGTATTTTCGGGTAACCATTGGTTACTCTTTGCTACATGTCACTAACAAATATGCTGTTGTGTTCTTTGGCAGGCTATGGATCCTGTAAATTTACTGGAAGGTGAGAAACTATGAACAACTTCAACAGAGATAATTTTTATTTCTTTGATGTTAAAGGAAAAGACCGGGTAGAGTTCTTTGCTTTAATCCAACTCATGCTTCCAAACAATTATAGCTAACACTTTGTCATATTTATGTTGAAACAGTTCAAGTACAAGTGGTAGTGGCCTATTTCCGCCTCCGGCATTGGGACCTGTAGGTCCATCCTCACAAGGCTCAAGCGTTCAAGTGTTCAGTTTTGGCTTTCTGTTGGTTGTATTTTTGTCTGTGGTCATGGCTGATGTTAGTATTTCCATGAGTTTGTAGCATCATTAAGCACAGAAATTGTACTCAGATGACAATGCAAGGGAAAATTTATCAATTTTTGAGTGTGTAGATGATTGACATATTCTTTATTTTGCACCATCAAATTGTTTCTCCCATGTTAAGTGATTCAGTTATACTACAAACCAAGAGTGAAGGGTCTTGGATGGGTGGTCTTTGATGCCTCTGTCGTCGCTTGTCTGCTCGCACAGTGCAAGTTACAGTTTGACGTTATTAACATAACAAGCAAGCATGAGGATAAATTTGGAACCACAAATTTGTTATTACTGCAGAATCTGCTGTTCATGACATGAGACAGATGCTATGATAATGGGTAAAAAACAAAAAAAAATTCCTTGTAGTATAACTATCTTACAAAAAAAAGTTCTTGCGGTTTTAAATCCTACATATCAGTATCTCACAATTTAAAGTATTGGTGTGAACTGGGTGTGGTTTTTTTGAAAAATAGTTTTTTAAGGTAAAATTTAATTTAAATTACCTATTTTGCCTCTCATGCCTTAATAAAGCAACTATAATTCCTTTTCAATTTTGTTTCAAACTTGCAAAAATCGACGATTTTTGTTTATATTATTAGTGAATGAAACTAATAAATCAAAAACTGTTTGTTTCAAGCTATTTTTTGCTTGTATTATTAGGGTATTTCTATTATTTTACTCAAAATCGTTTGTTTTAATGATTTATGTCAATGTTTCAAATTATTTCAAACCATGAGGTACCGACACGTATGATTTGAAACCACAAAAATTTTTTTTGTAAGATAGTTATACCATATGAAGCTTTTTTGTTTTTTACCCTGTGATTATTGATCAGGTAAACGGATAACTGCTTTTCTGCTCCTCTTGGAGATGATTTCACAAATGTGCAGAAACAAAATTAAAATGGATCTCACTTGTCCTCAAACAACAAAATAGGGGTCTCATTTGGGTAGAAATCGCAGCATACGCTTCAGGATTTAGGCACAACAAAAGGATTAGCTCCAAAGCATCAAAACATGCATTGTGTGAAATGCTCGAAGATACATTTAACAATTTTCAACTTGAAAGCCTGATTTGAGTACATCAAAATGTTCCATATGCCATGTATTTCATGTATCTCCTACATTTTGCCCTTGATTCTCATTCTTCAAAATGTCATTTTGTCTTCCCTTTGTTGGGAAGAAACCATCGTCTAACAATTTACATTTTGATATGCAACAATACAAAAGAGATTATGCAGCTGAATTCCAAAACCTCATGAATCAACACATTGATATGGCGCTACATCTGAATTACGAGTCTTATTAACATGAGCTTGCTTCAGCTTTAAGAACCTGGATCACAATAAAAAAAAAAAATCAACTAAATTGTCTGTAGAACTTAATGTGCTTGACTGCTTCTCAATGAGAATCCTAAAAGCTAAGATAGGAGATTACCTGTAATGCGAAGTTAGATATGAGCTACACAATTAAGCCATTGAATCACATTCCTAGATGAGAATGTCATACATATATTCCCAATCCAATCTCCTTAGGATCTGTTTCTATCATCCATGGTGCCCTGTTGAGGAGAAAATCTTTTTCTGTTCAAATGTGGCAATTAAAATTGAGGATAAAAAACAGTCGTTTCATGGCAGATGCTTACTTGTTCATTATAAAATTCAATGTTCCTTGTGAAGCCCGCTTGAGAACAATTTCCCTAGCCTCAACAGCAATACCCTGAGGCTACACACCAGACTAAAATTTTATATGGTATAACTACATCTACTGTATTTTTGAATTTGAAAAGAATGATGTATACATGTACCTCTTCCGGAAACCAAACACCAGGTTGTGTGCTTCCTTCAAGAACTGCAAGAACAAATGCTGCTGTTGCATTTCCAACTGATCTGAAAGATGTCTCATTAAGTTAGATAACATCAAATGCATACTCCAGTCAAATGTCTAAAAGAAACTTCCTGTTTCAAGGTCAATTTTTAAAACTCATTAGAACACCTATTCAAGTGAATTCATTGGAATCTATTTGTCCAACTCAAGAAGGGCACAAAATGTACCGCAAAAATGGGAAAGAGACATTGAAGCAACAGATATACAACCTGAAGAAAACATTTAAAGGTTCATCCATGCACTTCATTATATTCCATAAGGTCAAAATACCCAACCCACAATGGTCCCGGAACGAATTCAGCATTTTCATAGGAAGCTTTCCTCGGACAACAAGCAATGCTTTGTGCTGAAAATAGATGTTTCTCATTCAAAGACTTAACATTATAACAGTTGTCATTAGCTTGATTTCATATTCTGTTTGTGCCTGCTAGATTGTCTTGAAATTTCTATTACACACCACAAGACCCGTGGTGGCCATTGTCCCTTATTGCCTCTGCTGTAACTCCAACAGAAGTGTGAATTCTAGCAAAAAAGCTTTAGAGCTAGATGTATCATGATATGTGGTGAACCATAACAAAGATACATAGTTCTTAGCATGTGTCATCTATACAAATATGAAATTCTCTTCCGTTTACAAAATTAAAGTCTAACATTCAGGTTTCATCGACTAAAGATGCATGCAGGTACTCTTCACTCAATTAAGCCAAAATTTCCTCTTATAGGGTGAGCGGGTTACCCAAATAAGCAGCATGAAAAGAGTGATGAAAAACTTACTTAGAAAGCTGTCTATGACTGAATATCGCTATTCTATTGTATCCATCAGAACCTTCCAGATCAACCTGTTAAAATTAGAATAATGACCACATAACATAAATGGATCAAGCAAAGAAGTTCTATGTACAAGTCTGTGTAACATATGGATTTCAGATTATTATAGGTAATCGGAAAAGATTTATATCACCCGCATTGAAACTCTCTCTCCAGAAAATTTATCTACTGCTCGTACTAGTGGATCAAACGCTTGCACCAGTTGTTGAACTTTGCTTCTGTCTCTTAAAAATTCCTGCATATTTTGGCAGGATCATGCAAGGACAGTAGAAAGAGCTAAAGTTACTAGCATCATTGACTCATTATGTTCTTGGACAACAGAAGCTTGTCTAGCTTCATTGCTGCCTGCCATACGGTATAAACACCAGCGACATGCAGTGCATACTCATATTACCCTATCAATTTACTTCTCACTATTTCTATCCCTTTCACGTGAGGAAGACAAAAAATGGACCAGGGCATGCGGTAGTCTTTTCCAGTCAATCAGAAAAGTATGAATGAGCAAAGCACACTGATAAACTGAGTGTAATTATTTCAATTTGAGGAATTTTATGGTATAAATCAAATTGAATGGAAAAGACAATAGCTTGTGCCTAAGTTTACAAAACATTAAGCTGATAAATGATAAGAGAAGAGATGATGTTAAACAGGAGAAAGACCTACTCTGAAGCAATGAAGCAGTTAGCATACAAGCCCTCACTCTAAACTAAAAGCAATTGTCAACTGTACTTTGTGGCTAATTCTATGCAAAAGTTTAACTTTCTAATCAAGATGAATAAATTAATAAGTTGCATACAGCAGGTAGCAGATTTGTCATGGCTAACATTCCCCAGTTCCAGAAGAATGGTGCAGTTCCAAACCGAGCACTGACAGTTGGTACTCCAAGGATCTCATAAGCACTACGCACCTCTGGCAAATTTCTGAAGAATAAGAAAGCATAGAAGAAAATGAAAAATATAATCCAGTAGAACAACATCCAAAGAAGACGATTTTTTTCTATACTGTGTCAAGCAGCCCATGAGAATGCCTCTTCCACATTCGCAATCCAGAAGCCATCAACACCAAGTTAATATCATTTTTATTAAAGTTTTTTTCATAAAAATTACTTCAAAATTGGCCTAGCAAAATAGTTCAGTCAAATATGATCACAAGCACATGATGCAGGGGATGTCTTTGCAAATCACCGAAGTTACAGTCCCAAGAAGTTTCTTTCAAAGTAAAAACTACATTTCTGCCAAAAGTACTCATCAACACATGACAACATTTTCCAGAAATCAGGAACTATGTGTAGTAAGAAAGAGATCTGACAAACAAGCTGTTAGTCAAACTAATTTAGAAATTCTATTCCAATACAAGGAATGTTGGTTGCAATTTCAGATGCAAATTGTAAAGAAATTTGGACAAGTTATCTAAAAGTACACAGCTCTTCATGTAACGCAAGATCCAATTTGAAAAAAAAAAGATTCCAAAGAAGCTCTTAGAGGATGAGTTCTAGAATCTGCCACCAGGCTCGTCCTACTAACTATCTCTTCAACAGGGAGGAATAGCTAACACCCCTATGTTAAATGGACAGAGGATATAAATTGAAGCTATTATAAGTAGATCAAATGGTAGGCAATGTACATCCATCGAAGAACTTTCATATGTAGTAGTTACACAAGTTTTTAATAAACAAAAGACGAAGAACAACATTCAGTTGCAAGGTTACAAAAGTAGCTTACAGTCATTATGTTAAGTGTCAGTGAAGAAGTTCCTAAGTTAAGAACTTACAAAAGAAAAACATCCCTCTTCCCGATCCCCATTCCAAAGTCAATGTTGAGCATTCCACTGTAGGGCTTTAAGTTGATTTTTTTCCCTGAATGTATAATCAAATAATTTAGTCAAATGCACGGTAACATTTGATTAACCAAAGAAATAGGAGAAAGCCATAATGCACTTTAAACTCAGACCTTTGTTATATGCAACTACCTCTTCTCCAAGAAGTAAAAAGCTAGTAGACAATATTGTTGGGCCAGCACCACCAGAACCAGCTGTGTAGTAGTAAAATCTACAAAAAGTATGGTAATCTATATTTATTAGTTCTTTACAAAAGTTAATCTATATTTATTAGTTCTTTACAGTTGTGACAATCATAGGGTTATTAGTTGAACACATTAATAAAATAAGACTGATCAAATTCGAGCACATTGGAGGATAACTATTGAATCTGGATTTCTTACTTAATGCATGAATGATATGTAACTGGATCAGATTCGAGACCATTTTATACCATCAACTCTTGGCACTTGGAGCAGATGCAAGCTTACTTTAGGCTCAAATGTGGAATTAGAATAGAAAATCCATGCATTAGATGGTAAGGTAAGAGGCCTAAGGACACCATGAGATATCAGATATCACATGTTTGACAAAACTTTCAAATGGCAACAT